AGTCCAATTGCCGACACATAAAGCCGCATAAAGCGCCGAACATTTCAAGTGAAACACTTTTGATTTGACAGATGTGACAGTTATGTATGTATTTGGATCATTGTGAAATTCAAACCAAATCAGTGGAAAAACACAATATTTTGAAATATTTTTGCCATTTTACTATGGGAAAATAAATAAAATTAAATATGGAGCAAAAATATATCAATCTAATAATTTTAACTCCAATATTTTGTATTGTTTACCTCAATGTAAAGAGTGCGTTCATTAACTGTCAAAACTTAAAGTTGTACAAGTTTCGCAGTGAAAATTTATGAAATGTGTTAGGGAGTCGAGATTTGGACGATGGATATCCGACATTTGGAACTTTCGATGTTACGACGAAAACATAGAAAAAAATAATACATTTTTGGAAAATACTTTCTTTTAAGAAATGTGAAATGAAGCACAATTAAATTCTGCATCGAATTGTGTATACAGTACACATGTCGGAATACCGAGAGGTGAATTGAAATTAAAAGTTAAAAATTTATTTTAATTGCATTTTTAAAAGTAAATTATGAAAGATCAATATCAAATCTCTTTATTATAATCCAAATTTTAATCAAAAATCTATTATTGTTTTCACAAATTACGTTCAAAAAAATTCGGTATTTTTATCACTTTTTCACGTCAAAAGTAAACAAGCCGGTAAAATGCATTTTTTTTAATGAAGAAATAACTAATTTGGAAAAAATATATATGTCTGCGAATTGTAGATACTTTAATTTAGTTATTGAACAGAAATATTGAAAATATAAAGAAAAACAATTATATTTGTTTTTCATTTTTCACTGTAATATTATTCCGGAATAAATCGTCCAATTGCCGACACATTAAGCACCGAAGTTTCAAGTGAAACACTTTGCATTTGACAGATGTGACAGTTAAAGTCGTATTTGTATCATTGTGAAATTCAACCAAAAATATTATAGATCAGTGAAATAACATAATATTTTTAAATATTTTTGCCATTTTATTGTGAAAAAATAAATAAAATTAAATATGCAGCAAAAATATATCAATCTTATAATTTCAACTTCGATATTTTGTATTGTTTTCCTCAATGTAAATAATGCGTTCCTGAGCTGTCAAAACTTAAAGTTGTTCAAGTTTCGCAGTGAAAATTCATGAAATATGTCGAGATTTGGGAGCCGAGAATTGGACGACGAATATCCGACATATGGAATTTTCGATGTTACGACGGAAAAATAGAAAATAATAATATATTTTTGGAAATTTCTTTCTTTTGACAGTTGCAAAATGAAGCACAATTAAATTCTGCATAGAATTGTGTATAGAATGATATTTTTAGATGAAATCAAAAGTGTTAAATATTAAATTGAAGTTGAAAATTCAAACAAATAGTCCACCATTTAGGCGAGTGTCCATATAAGAAATGCGTATCTGTTTCGAAGTTGCTATTTTATGTGTCGCCATCTATTGATAAACAGTCAAATTACAAATTTACTATTATCTAAGAGCTCCTTTGTCTCGATGCTGATTCTAAAAACGTTTCTCTTATTAAATTAAAATTCCTACAAGCTACGTAAAATGGCTGGTTATGTGCATATTCCGATGTAAACGTTCTAACTCTTATTAGTTCTGTATTTCTTAAATTTCTTTGGTTTACGTTATATTGCTGTCGTGTGTATACAATTTTATTTCGAAGCGAACTAGACACTATTTTACCCAAAAGAAGATCATAAATTAAAAATATAGAGGCATTTATACGCCGTCTCCAAAGCGGTTGAATATTCAAAACATCACATCTAAAGCGATACGGTGGCAATACATAATTCTCATCTCTCTGATATACATATCGTAACGACCAGATGACAAAATCTTTTTGAATTGATTCTATTCTATCGGAGTGGATACGATGGTATGGAAGCCATACAATACTCGCTGTGTAACGAACCGTACACAAAAGAATGCATACAATATAATATATATCATACAATTCAATACATACAAACAATTAATTCATTCATTCAAACATTATAATTCATGCATCAGCATAATGACCGATTTGACAAACAATTTATTCTTATTAAAACAGTTGCAATTACAAAGTAACTCAAACCTGTTGTGTTTTATATTATTATTAATCCACAGCTCATTGGATAATAGGTAAATTAAATATATTATTCACAGGTCAATGTCGTTGGCCCCCCCCCCCCCCCCAATTTAGTGCTGCTGAATCACATATACTATAATTTAGTGCTAATTTAGTGCTGTCGATTGACACTACTCCCGAATTTAGTGCTGCTCCCAGATGGCAGCACTGAATTTTCGAAAAACTGAAATATGTCATTTTCGAAATTTTGCATGGTGACCACCCTAATGGATGTCTCAAACCAAACCAATTGACAATTAGATTACACTAGATAAAATTGATTATTATATCCATTCATATGCAATTCTTCAAAACTTTAATTCAAAATAGTTCAGAAAAGTATATAACCATTCTATTACAGTAGACATTGGCCACAAATCACTCATTCACTCCCCCTCTAGCTGATCTCTAGGTACACAGCAATTTCAAAAAGTTTGGCTATTGTTGGTATGATCACTACTGGTCTGTAATTCGCTGCATTGCTCTTTTTACCAGCCTTGTAAATTGGCACAATTCTGGACTTTTTCAATGCATCTGGAACACATCCTTGTTGCAATGATTTTCGAAATAGCGCCGTTAACGGTTTCGACAATGAGTGTGCGCAGTTCTTCAACACTTTCGGTGATATTCCATCTGGACCGGCTCCTTTGTTCGCATCGATGGATTGTAATGCCTTTAACACATCGGCTTCTGTGATTTCAAAGTCAAATGATTCGTCTCTGCATTCATCCAGCAATTCATCCAAGTCGATAATGTCGCTTCGTGTGTACTGATTTTCAAAAAAATCAGCGAATAATTCCGCCTTCGATGCGTCGGTGTTCGCTGTCACATCATTGTACTTAACAATAGCTGGAATATCGCTCCGTTTTCTTCGATCATTCACAAATCGCCAAAAGTATTTTGGATTTGATTTGATTTGTGATTGTATGCGACTGATGTACGATTTAAATAACTGGCTTTGTAATGGGATGAACGAATCCGTGATGTTGTTGTATTCGTCGAAATTGCCAGTCTGCCTTGCTCGCTTGTATGCTTTTTTTCTGACATTTTTCAAGTGCTTCAATTGTTTCGTGTACCATGGTGGATCAGTGCTACTTTGAACGGTTATCCTCGGGACAAATGAATCGATCGCCTCGTGAAGAACATTTCCAAAAATGTGAAATGCATTCTCGAGGTCATCTATTCGATTAATTTCTGACAAAATGTGATTTCCAACGAAGAATGAATTCATCGCATCGAAATCTGCCGAGTTATATGCATAAATTTGTGAAAATTGCGGTGATGAGATCTCATTTTCATCAATTGTCACTTCCATTTCGAGTGCTTTATGCCAAATGTCGGATTTTACCAATAGCCTTTTTGACTCAATCAACGACATTTCGTAGAACTTGTTTGTGAATACAAGATCCAAAACATTGCCGGCTGAATTTACAACATTTGACAATTGGTGGAATGATTCCACTGGAATCCGCAGTCGAACATTGTGTCGAAAACAGCAATGCCACCTTCTGTCGATATATTAATTGGCAGATAATAATTTCCATCGTCGGCTCTGATCCATTTAACACCAGGCTGATTAAAATCACCGCATACAATAACTATGTCATTTTCATTGTATGGGATCAGTTTCAAGATCTCAGCAAATTCCAAGAATTTAGCAGTCTCGTGGACCGACCGAATGTACACCGCAAATACAAAAACATTGCACGAGTGGAACGAAATTTTTACACATACGTGTTCAAGGCCACTGTTCTCCGATAGAATCACTTTCTCGCTGTTGTATATGCAATCCACTGCGACCAAAACACCTCCACCGTATGTTCTGTCACTTGTCAGTTCTGTTCGATCGCCACGATACACATTATACTGCTTTCCGAAATGTTCAATGTCTGTGATGCATTTTTTTGGAGTTGGTTTCGTTTTGATCGATGCTTGTGCGAATTTGTTCGGTGATTTTTCGGTGATGTTGCTCGCTGGTGATTCGGTTAAATCCATTGAAACTGGTGTCGGTTATTTGCGGATGGTTTTCGAATTCAATGCCGGAAAAAAATCACCTAAAGTTTTGTTCTGAAGGAACTCACGAACAAGAACATCTTCTTCCCAAACTTCCGGATCGATCAAAATGTCAAAATCGTCTTCATTTAATTCGATTTTAAACGAAACAAACTTCAATGTGGTAACATCCTTGTCTTTTTTCACCAGTTTGTGCACATTGAATCTCGATTTTTCATTAATCGATGTTTCGGACGTGATAAAGTCGATAATTTCTTCGGGTGTTGCCGTTGGTTTGAAGCCAGAGACCCAAATTGCTTTTTTGAACACCGGTTTTTCAATTCGTTTCGGCTTGACTACAACATTTAGACGATGTGTGGCTGATTTTGTACCCACTTTTGGCGGTGGGGCTTCAAATTTCGTGGTTTTGACTTTCGGAGAAATATTCGGTGAGTTTTCAAAACGCGGTCGTTTGGCCGATTGAGTCTGTGCACCACTTCGTAATGCGATAGCGTATGATTTGACGGGGGTATGAACAAACGATGATTTTGAAGCATTTCTCAATGAAATATTGCGCGGAACAATTTTCTTTTGTGTCGATTCACTCTGTGCAATGGTTTTATGCGCTAAAAATTGAGTGTCCTCATGAATTTCGGTTGCTTTGCCATGTAATTCCGAAAGCATGCCTTTTATTTTTGTTAATTCGGATAAAATCGACGAGTTTCCAGCATCAGATTTTGTTTCGGTAAATGTTTCAGTCAATTTTGATTGACGTACATTGGGTGTAGTTACTTGTGTCAATTTTAACTTACCACCCTGTGTAATCGATTTTGACTTTTTTGCTGGACCTCCCGGTACATTCAGTTTCGCGCTCAATTCATCCGATGACAGCGGTTCACAACAAACAAACACGGTGCAAGGCAAAATCGCATACATAACCGCACTTTCACTCAATTTTATTTGCACCGTTTCGAATTTTCCATTTTCGCAATTGTCAATGCCAAAACAACGCAAAAAACATAAATTTCCACATTTTTGTTTCGGCCCGGACACACTTTTCGGTTCACAAGTGTCTCTATCACATCCATGCACCATTGTGCAATGCAATGTATATGCACACCAAATGTTGATTGTTTGTTTAAATGTTTTCACACAAAATATCAAATAACGTCACTGTACTCGATTGTTTTCTAATAAATAGTCACTAATATAATGTTTTGGGTCAGTTTTTAATACATAAATCGCACAATTAATATTTTTAAAAACAAAAAAACGATAGACACATAGAGAGTGTAAACAAACACATTTGACAGTTGACAACGATGCCATTAATTCATTCAATAAATGCTTTTAACTGAAATTAATGAATTCACTGAAAATTCACATCCACATCATACACTTACATATTTATGTTCGTAATTTATAATTTGGAAATATCTAGAGGCTTTCACACTATTCGCGAATGGCAGTTTATATAGTGACCTCAGAAAAAATTGATGCATTAAGGGCTTATTTTTATGTGCTACAGTATATGATGTTATATGAGAATTTGTCACTATTTCGCACTCTTTATTGATAATACAGTACGTTTTTTTATATAGAGCCATCAGCGGCGTACCTAGAGATCAGCTAGAGGGGGAGTGAATGAGTGATTTGTGGCC